TAAAAACAAACTCACACACGCACAATGCAAAGAATCTCAGATAAAACAGCAGCGTAAAGATATGTTTGAGCAGCACCAAAAGATTTCCGACCTCAGGTAGAAATCAGGCGGCAGCAACAGAAGAAGCGAAACTTTGCAAAACTTTTTGTCATGATCACTAAAATCTAATCTTGTCTTTCATTTTTTAATTTCTTCTGCAGCAACGCATCAACAGTCACTGTCTCTCAGCTGCCCAGCTGCCCAACTTTTGTCCGGCGACCGCGGCTATGGCAGCCGCTTCCTCACTTCCTCCCGGTGCCGCCGCTCAGCTGATGCTCCTCAACGGCGCCCTGTCGCCCTTTATGGGCGCCAATGCTGCCGCCTCTTTCCTTAATGGCAATCACCAGAACAATCCACTGGCGGCGGTGGCGGCGGCTGCTGCTGCAGCAGCTGCTTCACAACAGCAACAGCATGGAAATGGACCAATCTCCAATCAACGAGGTGGTGGTCCAGGCAGTCCAGTGTCGCTGATCAATGGGTAAGTTGTTGAAGATAATAAACATTGAAAAAGCTGTTTTTACTGAATTTTCTCTTTTGTCATCAGGCAAACTCTCTCATCGGTTAAAGAAGAACTTGCCGACTCTTCGGCAACACATGAACTAAGCAATACACATGCCGGTGAACGAGTGTCGCCATTCAACACGGCCTCCTCCACTACCGCCACAAATGCACCGCTAAACTTGAGCAAGCCAAAGTCATCTTCACAACGGTCAACGCTGGACAACTTTGCCAAAAGTGGTATGTTTTTTCAATTGTTTTTGCAAGTATTTTTGTAATCTAACTTTCATCTTCTTGCAGAAAAACGCCGCTCCAGTTCTCCTTATCGCGGCTCCCTTACTTCGCCCAGCAACAACAACTCAAGCGCGNAGTATTTTTGTAATCTAACTTTCATCTTCTTGCAGAAAAACGCCGCTCCAGTTCTCCTTATCGCGGCTCCCTTACTTCGCCCAGCAACAACAACTCAAGCGCGAACCCGAATGCGGGCAATCGTTCGTCACCGCTGAGCGTCCACTCGGCGAGCGCCGGGAACAATGCCGCAGCCGCCTCCTCTCAGCTACCTCACTCGGCCGCTGACCAGCAGTCCTTACAGGCCTTCATTGCCGAGAACTACTGGAACACTCTGGCGGGATCATTTCCGGGCGCCTTCAGCCCACCTGGCGCCGGTTCAGGAGGCGGACAGGGGCAGGGAGCTTCGGCAGTGGCTGCTGCAGCAGCCGCCGCCGCTGCTGGCCTCCCGCCCAACTTTTCCTCTCTTCTTAGCCAACAGGGCGGCAACTCGCCTTTTGCGGCAGCAGCGGCTCAGTTTGCGGCCCGAGAGAAGGGTGGTCACCACTCTCAGCAGCAGCAACAGCAGCATCTGATGGCTTCCTCTCCTTTTGGCTCATTGTCGCCCTTTCACCCTAGCATGGAATCTCTTTTTGCGAGTTCACTGCAGCAGCAGCAACAGCAATCAACAGCTTCAGGTGGTGTTGGCGGTGGCTCGTCATCAGCAGCGGCGGCGGCCGCATTCAATGAGGCACTCAGCAATTTCTACCTTCCGGGAGGTGGTGCTCCAGGCGGAAACGGCGCCATGATGATGATGGGTGACCAGCAGATGGGCGAGCACCTCCATCGCGGCAAAGCCGAGGGCCACCACCAGGCACTGCACCACAGTCCACTGCATCAGCAGCAGCATCATCAGCAGCAACAGCAACATCTCCAGCAGCAGCACCATCACTCCTCGAAAAAGTCGTCATCCGATCATCGAGGTTCTGGTGAGAATGCCTCCTCAGTGGCCTTCAGTGGCATGACCGGCGCCAACAACGGCAGTGGCGAACGCGGCCACTCGAAGCACTCGAGCAACTCTTCAAACTCGTCTTCGGCAAGCAACACTACCAAAGTCGAGTCAATTGTCACTTGTCAAAGTATGTCGCACACACTCTTATCTCCCCTTTGCCCCAACCTTTCTGATCCGCTCTGATCAGCACAGCCAACCTGCCTACTATCATCTTTCTTGCTAGCCAATTGATTTCCATTTTGCTACCACCACCAATCTATCTACTTTTCACTAACAAACTTGTCCTCTTCTTCTTCTCTTCCTACTACTCAGGCAAACTGCTCGGCGCAAAAATAATCCGCCAGGTCAAGAAAGATAACGACGGCAAGCCTCACGTGAAGCGGCCGATGAATGCCTTTATGGTCTGGGCAAAGGACGAGCGGCGCAAAATTCTCAAAGCCTGCCCGGATATGCACAACTCGAACATTTCCAAGATTTTAGGTAAGGCTCTTCTTCTCAGCCATCGGCTGACCTCTCCTTCTCACTCTCTCATTAACTAAAACAACAAATTAATTAATCACATGTCACCTCAACTTCTCATCTCATCTCCTCTCCTTCAGGCGCTCGGTGGAAGGCAATGACGAACTCTGAGAAGCAGCCGTACTACGAGGAGCAGTCGCGCCTGTCGAAGGTGCACATGGAGCAGCACCCTGACTACCGGTACCGACCGCGACCGAAGCGGACCTGCATTGTCGACGGGAAGAAGCTGAGAATCAGCGAATACAAACAGCTGATGAAAAGTCGAAGGCAAGAGATGCGCAATCTGTGGTTGGTGCAGCCCAGGCCAGAGTACAGTAATTCATCTAACCGATAATCTATTATCTGCTTCCTCTGTTCTCAATCAAAACACAGGTACAAGGACGGCAGTGAGATGATTGGACCGGATCAGATGAGCGCCAGCGCGATGATGGCCGCCGCCGCTGCTGCCGGTGCCGGCGGTCTGGCCGGCATGGACTCCAACGCAATGGCCTCGGCGGCCGCAGCCGCTGTCATGCAGTCCTTCCTCAGCGGCGGGGGAGGTGGTGCTGGAGGAGGTGTCGGCGGCGGTGGTGACCCCACCTCGACGATGTCCTTTCAGTCTGCGGACAGCTACAACTCGGACAGCAACTCCAGCAATATGATGGGCCGCGATGAGGACTTTGACCTCGATTCAGGCGAGTCGGGCGCCGATTCTCCGCCACCAGTGCAGCTCGGCAGTGCAGTGCTCGATGATTGAGAAGGCGGTGGATGCTTCTTCTCCTCTTTTTTTCTGGTCTTTGGTCTCTTCTTCTCTTCTTCTCCATTTCCTTTCACTCCTTTGAAGATACATATCTCTCGATGTTTTTAGTGTGTTTTTCGGTGCACCACTCCACTCCTTTTTTCCCTCTTCTCACGTTTTTCCAAAGAGCTTAACATTCTCTTCTACACAACTCGTCTTTGCAATTTAGCCTATTCTGGAGCAACAACAGCATACAGTTTTTACCGTGCACATGAACCTTGTGTCACCCTTTTTAAGTGGATGATTTTATTGCCTGCTGCACTCTCATTTTTTTCACCAGTTTTTACGTTTGTTTGTTGTCAATCTGATTAGCTGATTACTCTTCTCTACGCATTTGTTTTTTATTGCCGCACAGTAGCAATTTTTATTGTCAACATTTTTGCGCACACATTTTTAGTTAGCTGTTTTTTTCTGTATAAAGCCTCACTATCAAAACCTCTGTATCAGCCAACTAGTGCTTAGAGGAACTGTCTTAGGCCATTTATCAGTTCAAACATAGAAAAGGCATTTTGCCTGCTCACTCTCTTGCAATTCCTTTCTTTTGATGTATATTCTATACAACCAAACAGTCATCTTGACCACAGTTTTTCTTCTCATCCTCACTTTCATTCTCATTAACTTTTCACTGTAAGCAAAACCCACCACAATCACCATCACACACTTATTTATTACACACCAGCACTTTTTATTATTCTCATTACCACATTTTTTGTGCATCTCAGCAAATATCTCTCTTTTCTTCATTTTTCTCTCTCATCACCTTTATTTATGTTTCCACCACTTTTTCTCCAATGAATCAGAGAATCAACACCCCACACTTATTTAAGATGATCACTTTCCTCACTTCCCCACTTAAACTTCTCCAGTCTCTCCAGTCAGTCAGTCACCCAGCCAAACTGTACATAATTTCTATATTTATATAATCCTTCTTCTCACCTAACTTATACACCCCACAATATTCTTCTTTGGCAGCATTAGTACGACACACTTTTAGACAATCTTCACTTCTAGGCATTTCTCGTGTGCAGGCACCAGTTTCTCTGTAGAAAGATGTTTGATGATGGCCACACAAGTTTTTTTCATTTCACCAAATGTATTATAAAAATATTATATTGTCAGCCACACCCACTGCAATTGTTTTAACTTAAATCTCAGCTCCCTCTCACTTCTTTGTACAGAATCTTTCAGTTTTCTCAGTTGTGCTTTTTGTGATTAGTACTATCGATACTACTGAGTTCTTCTTTTGCTCTCTTCAGCGTTCAAACTCACCGAAATACCTGTCAATATTCACGCTTTCTCTCCATTTATGTGTATTGATGTTTGCAATTTTACAAATAATAAGTACAAAATTCAGTTGTTCAGAATCCTGTGTTTTTTTGTTTAGTTGGTCAAACAATCCAGAAAAGTGCACTGTTTTCACTGCAATCTTTTTTTACATCGAAAACTTAGACTATGGCATTACTTAAAAATAATTAATCGAAATGACACTGTGGCAATTAATTACTCCGTTGCCATCATCGGCTAAAAATGCTCGGTTTTGCCAGTCGCTTTCCTTGATGTGCTATCATCTACGTTGGCCTCAAGATTGATGAATGTGTCGCCAATCGAAAACTACAGGCATGAAATGTTGTTGTTGCCGTTGTTGTTGATGGCAGTGCTAAAGAATCAATGCTCGCTCCCTCTTTGCCAGCTTATCTTCAACTAAATATAGCTCGGACTTACTTTTTTGGCCAATGTTTTTGTGGGCTTTTGTGTGTTGTGTGTGTGTTGAGCAGCGCAAAGCAGAGAGCATCCAGCGTACACTGTTCTAATGATGATAAATCGAAGACACCGGTGGAAAGAAGACAAGAAAACTCGTCGTCTCTCAGGTGGTGTGCACTTTTCAGTGCAAACTGGGAACACATCGCACACACAGCACACACATTTTTGTCAGTGCACAGTTTTGATCTACTTTGACCACCAGTCACACTTTGACAGTTGATACGGTGGAGAAAGAAATGCTGTTTTCAGCTGTGGCTTACGTAAATCACCGCCGCTTTCATCCTCTTTCAAATCAAATTGACTGCTAAAGGGAAAAATGTTGGCACCCGGAGCCAAGACAAATGCCAGTGCTGCTTGAATCTTCCGCCCGATGCACTTGATGTACTGCGATGAGTGCGTGTTAATCTGATCAGCAATCAGCACTAACTTGCAAATGTCGTTGCCGTTGTCGCCAACCTTTTTCCCCGTTATCTCCCGGTCGCTGACCTGTCAACGCTGATCACATAACTTTAGGCAACAAATTTTTTTCTTGCTTTTTAATTTTGTTAATTAAGTGTCACATCATGATTTGGGATGAGATACAGTTTTCGAATTTTTTACTTCTGTTAACAATGTTGGGCTTTTTGAATGTAGTTATGTGCAATTTTTGTTAATCAATCTCCAAGTGTTCGTCAGCTTTTTACTTTCTGTCTAACATTAGCTAAACTTTTCCCTTCTTACACTGCTCTTGAGACTGCTACCATTTCACCCACAAAATGCTTTACTTCCTCATCCTTTTGGCGGCCATGCCAGCACTTCTCGCCGTCGGCTGCACCAAACTGTACTCCTGGGTGATGGCCGAAGACGTCACCACTGAGGAGGAGGAGGAGGTGCCAAAAGTGGCTAGCTCTTCTCGAACGAAGCAGAACAAGCATGGCCAGCGAGGTGGTGGTGGCCACCACAGCCGCAATCGAAAGGCGAGTAAGGACCAAGGTGGTGCCAGCAACAGCAACAATCAGGTGACGCCGGTGCTGAAGATGGCCGGCAAGGACCAGATCGTGGTCACTGACGCCGAGCTGCTGGTGAACGCCAACGCCGGCCAGGATGCAGCTGCTGGCGCCGGGCTCATTTTGGTAGACAATGACGCCTACCTGGCGGCGCTGAAGGAGGGCGAAGCCGCCGGACTGGTGACGCCGCTGGAGGGCACCACCACAAACAGCGTCAAAGAGGCGATGCGCGTCTTTAAGTCCTCAAATCATTACCACAACCACAAAGCTGGTAACAGTGCTGGAGGTGGTGGTAACAGTGGGCACTCCAGTCTGGCGCCCTACAAGACCATGTCCTTTGGTGGATCTTCTTCCGCCTCTAAAGGAGGAGGAGGAAGTGCAACAGCTGTATCAGAAAAGCCGAACAACAACAACAACAAGGTGCCAAAGAAGCATAAGAAGCAGCAGCGGTCAAATGCTGCCTCCAAGACGTCCAACTTCAAGGCGAAAAGTATCTCCAAGACCAATGTCAAGGCTTCTGCTTCAGCTGGAGGTGGTGAAGTTGATGTCGGCAAGAGCAGAAGCAACCAAAGGCAGAACAGCAAAGAGAGGACCAAGAAGAACAAGTCTTAGAGTGACCTTTTTTAAACTGCTGCTGCTGCTTGGCCAGCTTTGATGCCTCACTCACCTGATGCAACCGGAATAAACAAACAAACAACTCCAGTTGATTTTACTATGCTGAAATAATGTTTTCATGAAGTATCACTTTTCAAAGAAAATCGTTTATTTTTTCCAATCTTTCTACAAATCTCGCCGCTTGCGCTCCAGCTCAGGGTACATCGGCGGTGGCGGCATGAGGAAGTGCAACTTCTTTTGCAGAGCCTCCTCATCCTGCTGCCTTTTCTCGCCGTGTCCGGTGCACTTGTCGTAGCAGTCAAAGAGCATCTGGAAGGCGTAGCAGAGGCAGCAGTTGACCAGACCCATGCAGTAGAGGATCATCAGCTGGGTGAAGAAGGAGACGTCCTCGGGAGAGCGCTTTATGGGGGTGCTTGTCGTGCTGTTAGTGCTGTCATAGTAATCGTCTAGAAGAGGAAAGTGGTGTCAGGAAAATGGTAAACTTTTTAAGCGCTCTTGGCTTACATGATTCGGTTGTTGGTGGCATCTTTTGTCGAATGAAAGGCTTTGCTAAAAAACTGGTAATTGCGCACTCTGACTCTGATGACCAGTGCTGTAAAGTTCTATTTCTGCTTCAGTTCTTTCCATTTTCAGCAGTAGCAACAACAATGTCGCCAATTAGAGATCAAGTCGAATAAAAATTGTGCTGCTCGATTCAGCACAACTCTTACTTTCTATTTGCTCATCAAGATGCGATCTCTAAACTCTCGTCAGCTTTTCCAGCTGTTTGTCGTGGCTGTCCTGTTTGCCAGCCTACACCTTTGTCCGGTAGTTTTTGGGCAAGGAAGTGACACTGGTGGCAATGATGATGGTGATAAAGGCAAGGGCACACCTGCGCCCGGTCCCGGGCCTGGTCCAAAGTAAGCGATCACTTTATCATTCTTATTCTTTAAAGCATTTTCCACACTCAAAGGCCATCAGGAGGACCCGTCCCAAGTGGCCGCAGTTCAGAGGGCCCTCTGAAGAGCTGGTGGGCGCAGTGCATTGAAGAGGGCAAGAAGAATGCCACTCACCTGGACACCACCTCCGCACTGATGGACTGCTGCTCGGGCCTTTTCGCCTGCGACTGCATCAACAAGGGCTGCAGTGGAGAGCACAGCAAGGACGACCCCAACTGCAAGATACCGGAGAAGGATCGCTGTCACGTCAAGTGCGATCAAGGTAAACAGCTTCAATTTAGTGTTTCCTTTTCACAAAGAGCTATTTCTCTTTTTAGACTTCACCCTGGCCAGCTGCAATGCCATCACCCACAAGTCCTGGCTCGGGCGAAATCCCTGGATTTGGGGCATCGTCGGCCTGGGTATGATTCTCTTTGTAGTTCTCATCGTCTACTGTCTCTGCTACATGCGCAAGGTCACGCCGAAGATCAAGGGAAAGAAGGGCGGTGGCCATTCCGGTGGAGGTGGTGGTGGTGGCAGTGCCAATCGTTCGGGCGCAGGCAGTCGAAGTCGAAGGATGAGCAGCCGAGGCGGCAAACGGGGCCGAGGCATGAGCTCGGCAAAGCGAAACTCCAGCTCTCGACGCACCTCGATGAACTCCCGAAAGGCGGGCGGCGGTGGCCGCTCGGTGCGTCGATCGGTGAAGGTGTCCAATCGACAGGCGGCGCCACCTCCTCCGCCGCCACCGCCCCCTCCTCCGGAGCAGAGCAAAAAGGGCGGCGCCAGTTCCAATCCGAAGAACCCCGGTCAGTCCTTCATTCGCAAGGCCTGCGTTTAGGCCTGCCCATAACTACTACTAATCTTGGGCGGCGGCGCACTTTTCGTTTACACACAGTTTGTTTAGCTTTCGATTGTTGTTTAGCGCAATTAGAAATTAGAAATTGCGTTTGTTTAAACAGAACTTATGAGTTGCATTTTCGCCACTGCTTTGTTGCTTTGTCTCTAAAACAATGACGAGGCTTAGGTTTTAAAAGGGTGGCAAATATGTTTTAGTTGGTCATGTACCAACACGTTCTTCTGTTTCTGCAATGCTCTTCAACATAACCTGTTGTCTATTTCTGTTTATTCTTCAGATTTACCTGTTGACGATGGTTATTGGCAAATATGTTGACCTCGACTCCTCATTTCCTTGGTCATTCCCAGCTACCTCCACCTACGATTCCGTCTGTGGCAGTCTCATCTTTTTGGCCTATATCATTTGTACTGGTGCTTGCTTTTGCATCGGTTGCTGCTGTGGACAAAATTGTATTCCACTTTACATCTTCATCAGAGGAGATCACACTGGTCCAAAAAATAGAGTCAAAAACTTGAGAGGTGCAGCACTGAAGGGCATGACCAAGGAGAGCAATGGCCAACCGCCGCGGCCAATTTCTACCTCAACTGGCGCCCGAAGAAGAAGAGGACTTGGTCCATCTCAAAATGAAGTGAACCAAGTTGGCAGTGCTACTTCTGATGGTGGTGCTACTGGAGCATTCTTTGATCAAGGCGCTGAGACATCTTCTGCTGACAAAGAACCCTACGTTGGTCTGTCGTCGATCTTTGAGCCCGATGAGAACCCTCATCAGAGTGCCTGGCGTGAAGAGAAGCCCGCAGTTATGGTGCCACATCACTCCACCAGTGCCAAGGCTGGGAAGCTGAAGAAGCAACAAAGCAAAAAGGACAAAAAACAGAGCAAAAAGGATCAGAAACCGAGCAAGAAGGACCAAAAACCGAGCAAGAAAGACAAAAAGCAAAGCAAAAAGAAGCCAACGAAGAAGACAACGACGACGACGGCTGTGGCAAAGAAGACGATGGCAGCTGTAAAAATGACGACAACCTCAAAAGTGTCGACTGCGATGGCAAAGAAGGCCTCAAAGAAACGCCGATCGACTGGAAAAATTCTTCATCAGGACCATCACAACCATCCTAAAAAGGAAAGTCACCCAATCAAACAGCAAACAAGCAAGAAACAGGAGAAACAGCAAACTAAGAAGCAACAAGAGAAGCAAAAAACAAAAAAGAAAAACCCAGAGCTGGTGGTAAAGAAGCCAGCACCTTCTCAGATCGTTGATCGAAATCTGAGCAAAAAGCCTCAGCCGACCACTCGAACTACAAAGTCAGAGTCTAAGTCAAAGAAGAAAAAGAAGATGCGACAGCTATCGACGCAATCAAAAACCTCAAAGAAAACAAAGTCAAAGAAGCAGCAGCCAAAGTAGATTAACAAAGAGAGATAGGGCTTTGAGACAATAATAAACCTACCTAAAACTACTGACCAGTGCTCATCTGGTTGTTGTGTTGTGAAGGAGGAGGAGTGTGGAGTCATCATCCTCAACAGTTGTATTGTAGTAGAAATGAAACAGCGTAAACAGCACATTACATTCACCGAATAGTCAAAGTGGGCGAGGGGCCTGAGGAGGTGGGAGCAGGACTTTCCCATCATTTTCCCTTCTTCTTCTTGCCCTTGTCCGTCTTGCTGGCTCGCTTGTGCTCCTTGTTGCCGTGTCTGCTGCCGCGCTCCTTGCTGCGGCCCTTCGAGGTGGTCTCCCGTTCGTTCTTCTTCAGTCCACTAGCAGCTTCTTTATCCTTCTCCTTGTCTCTCTTGTCTCTCTTGGTGGGCTTCTCCTTGCTCTTGGTGTCCTTGCTCTCCTTCGAGTCTTCCCGCTTCTTCTCCCTCTTCTCCTTGTCCTTGTCCTTCTCCTCCTCGCCCTGTCCTCGCTCCCCTCTCTCCAGACGGCCCTTGGAGCCAGCACCAGGACCACCACCACCTCCTCCCCTGACCACCGTGGGTCCTGATCTCTTGATGACAGCCGTGCCCGACTGCCTCGCCGACTGCTTGTTGTGCGGCGACTTGCTCTGGTCTACCGTGGTGCTCACCGAGCTGACGTTCTCCGATGTGTACTCCACCTTTTTGACAAAGTCACAGTTCGAGTCGGAGGAGTCCGCCTGAGAGCAGTTCTTCGCGTACTCGTTCAGCTTCAGCAGAGGGGCCGGTTGAACGGTGGCGGGCATTGGAGAGAGGGGCGGCGACTTGGTGACGGTATTCTCTCGACCATTCACTTTGAGCTTGCTGGCACTTCCGACGCCGCCACCGCCTCCACCGCCTGCTCGCTTCATCGTCAGTCGCTCCTTAGACGGTCTCTCATCGTTTCCTTTGAGCGCCGTCGGCTTGACGTTGGTGGGGTCTTCCTCGTTGCCGGGCATGGAAGGTGAACAGAAGAAGATGAGTTTGCTTGATGAATTGCAGAGTAAAGTTGGGAAGTGTGTGTATTTCGAAAACAAAAAGCACAAAAACAAGAACAGCTTTTAGAAACGCTAATCTCTGCCTCGTACATCTACCAAACGGTTCATTGTTGGTGGAAGCTGTTTTAGAATTTTTTAGTTCTAACAAGCTAAAACTTCTGTCCTGCTACAAATTTCTAGTTTCTCTGAATTAGAGCATTTTTTCATCCTGTCATGTTCTTGTCTGTAATGTTTGCTGTACTGTTCCCCTGCGCTGATCCGTATGATTCAGTTTGCAGAAGGACCTAAAACAGATTGTCATCAGTAGACAAAAATTCAAACACTTTAACAACACTTACCACAATGTAACTTTAAAAAAGTTTAAAAAACGTTAGTAAAATACATAAAGCACTAATCATCCATGTCTTACTTTAATGAAAATCCAAGAACCTAAAGCAACAAAAATGTTTTACTTTCTGTAATACTCCAAAACATCCTAAACAGCACTTACCACCAGAATCGACGACTGTTGCACCGTGTAGACGGAAAACATTGAGACGATAAACTCCGCCGGTGCTCGCTTGATCTCCAGGTAGCACAGCCATTCTGAAAAACAAACAAAAAATACAGCCCATCACCAAACACAAAAACTCTCACCTTGAAGTGTCCACTCCGACTTGGCCTCGTACACCAGTCGAATGAGCGTGTTGCAGGCGTTGGTGGAGAAGTTGCCGGCACTGGCCACCACCACCAGGCGAACCAACGCCAGGAGGCCAATCTTGGCGATGAAGCCAATGGCGTAGGGGCTGATGTTGTCCCGGTTCTGATTGATGATGAGGAAGCAGCTGCTGCCGATGAGCATGTACGTGCAGGCGAGCAGGTCCAGGGTGACCGGTACGGAGAAGTAGCGCACCGTCCGCTTGAAAGCCTCATTCAGGCGGAAGAGGCGCGTCTTCAGCAGTGACAGCTGCAGCTCGTCCAGCTCGTTTGCTAAATTGAAAGAATTTAAAAAATTTAGATACTAGTTAAAAAGTCACTCACCTCTCTTGACGTCCTCCTGTAGCTGTTCCACCGCCCAGCGGAACATCGTCATCGAGTAGACAAAGAGCAGCGTGTTCAGCGTCAGAAAGAGCGTCTGAAAGATGGAAAGGGCCGTCTCGATGGAGAAGCGGGTGATGATCACCTGGCGGAGAAACTGCTGCATCGGATCAGGAGCTGCTCCCGCAGCTGCCTCGGCCTTTTCATCCACCCCGGAGAAGAGTATCACCTGGATGTCATTCCACTGGTACGCCCAGATGACGCCCGCCTTGATGGCCAGGACGACGGCGAGGTCGGCGCCGATGAGGAGGGCAGCCAAACGGCGGCTGCGATCGATCAGAGAGAACTCCCGAATGCGCAGCAGGTGGCGGAGGAAGGAGCCGCCGAGGAGGAGGTTGTAGACGGCGGAGGCTAGGCCGTTAAGCATGTACACGTACACTAGCCACTGCATGATCATCCTAAAAGTGGAAAAGTAGTCAGTCAAAAGCAAAAAAAGAATTTTTACAGACCGCAGAATGGGCTTCAACTCCGTCAGATCCTCCGGCTTCTGGTGACCCATGGCCACCTCGACGACGATCATGCTAATGATGCCCAGGTTTATGGAGGGTGGACCATTTGGGTCACCGGTGTCGTTTGCACCACCACCACCACCACCTCCGTTTTTCTCCATCATCTCAATGAACTCCATTACATTGCTCTGTTGTTTACTGCCTTCAAGCTGCTGCTGTTGGTCAGCAGAAGTGCTTCCATTGCTGGTGCTATTTCCTCCCGAGTCACCCCTGGTCGCCTCCAAAATGGAGCTGACAAGAGGAATGGAGAAGTAGGCAATGGTGCATAAGTTCAGCAGGATCAGCAGCAGTCGTTTTGCCATCATTGACCACTGCCAGTCATTCAGCGAGAAAACGGCCTTTTCGTCAATTTCATGGTGGGACTGGCGAAAGGCGGCCACCGGCTTTCTTCCGCTGATCGAGGGCGTTTCCACCAATGCAACCGATGATGCGGGACTTTCTACGAAGAGGCAGCCGGAAAAAGAGCCAGTTAGCACGCTAATTTGGGCAAGAGAAAAGTCATTAACAGTTTAAACACCCTTTTCCTTGTCTTCTCACCGAAAGTAGTTGACCAGCAGCTGAAGGGAGACAGGAAAAGGACGCTCCAGATGCACTGTCCGATTGAAGCACACCAGATCGCCCAGTTGACTGAAGAAAGAAGCTTCCTCCTGGTTTCCATTTTCTCCGCTCGGCTTTGATGGGGCATCCTCTGAAGGTATCAACTCAATCGTCGAGATGTTCATGTGATCCAGATGGGAATTTGAATGCTTGGACATCAGCTCAGGCGTCTCTACGGGCGTCGGATAGCTGCCCATGATCCTCCTTTTTTTCAGGCAAAAGATCTTCTGGTTCTTTCCAGCAAATATCTGTTTTTCTTCAGCCCACTTTCCTCTCAACTGCGACTTGGCTGGTTAGCTTCTCA